TATATAATCTTCTATGTAATGTAATATATATATATATATATAACATTACATTACATATATATATTTATTTAGATGAAATATATTTGTATTACTTCCCTTTATTGATTGATTAAAGTTAAACTTGCAAGACATATTTTTCAATCAAATTGTGTGTGTGTTTGTGTGTGTGTGTATATATATATAATTATTCCTTTTTTGTTGCTTTAGAGAAAAATAACTTGCATCTTGTTTATATCTTACTGGACAGTTCTGAGCATTCAGAACATTATTTCACAGATTGTCTATAGATCCAAATTTACAAATGCTATCCAGATAAAAGCTTTCTTACGTGCCGTCATTGATTGTTCCACCTCATGTGTTTTCTCGCAGACTGGCCTTGTTCAGACTGAAGAGGAAAGACTGTTCATCGAGCCAGTGGGCCAGGCCGTGGATTCCTTCTCTGGCTGGGAACACCGAGTGATTCGGGAAAAGCGTTCTTCATCGGACAGACCTGCGACTGCTGAAGACAGCAGCCCGAAATTCTGCCAAACCATCCAAGGTGAGACGATCGCTGCGCTGAAATGTGATGGACTTAACCGTGTTAAGTGTGGCAAGCCCATTGATTTAGAGGTCACTTTAGTTCGGTTCTGAGCTCTACAGGGATTTCATTTTGTCAAATTATGGGTGCAAGTGGGAAAAGTGGTCAATTTATGCAGTCAGTTACACATGATGTGTAATAACTGCCCTGTTTAAACTCTATTTCATCCAAAAACCTTTTCTATGCTAGAATAGTGGTTCTCAAATGGTTTAACAAGACACACATATTTGAGATATCCTGCAATCATAAACAAAACCTATCTATGTGGGCATCTGCAAAATCTGGGTAGCTTCTACCAAGTGACAGATAAAAATTGTGGCAAAATACAGTTTATGTAGTGTTTTTAGAGCCTTTGAAATGATGAAGCTTATGTAAAACTTTTTAGAAGTTGATTGGTTTTGCTTTTCTAATTATCATATGTTTAGTTCCATTTTATTATTCGCATTTGCTCTTGTTGACCCTTTCAAACCTGTGAACCTCTTTGGATCACGACCCAGCAGTCGCGAACCGCTGTGCTCTAGGAGTCTGTTATCATAATCTGTCCCCCATCCTCCTCTTTCCTCCAGGACTGCTTAAGATTCAAGAGTTGTCAAGTCCGTAAATCAAGTGTTTCATAGCAACGTTTATGATTCTGTGTAACTCTTTGATGTCTTCATCCTCTTAACAGCGCTGAAAGTTGGTGGGAGAGAGAAAGCTCAGCTGTTTTGCTCTTTAATGCCTTTATCGCTCTGGTAAACGGTGGTAAACTCCTGTTGGAACGTGCAGCTTTGCTGTTGAAATGCTACCAGAAAGAAAGCAAGAATTCTGTTGGCCTGCTCACGTACATTAATAATGACGTGCATATTTTCCAGCCCCTTGGGCCTTTCTTTGCCATGATTATGGATTTTTCTTGCCGAAAGGAATTTGCATATTTGAATGTGGCCTTGGAGGCTCTAAATGCCTACAGGTTTTCATATTCCAGGGCAGGAAGTATTGTCTAAGCATATTGCATTATTGGATTTGTAGTTTACCCTTTGAAATGAAGATGCAATTATCCAAAAATCCCGGTTTGTGTGTTCATGTGTGTGGATATATACAGTCGTACAGGCCAACCAAAACAATTTATGGTATTTCCAGTTGTATGCTACCCTAGTTTGTGGCTGATTGCAGACTCAAAGTCCCCTTGAACCCTTAGCTCCTTGTTCACTTTTTATTATTTGCTTTTGACTTTGTGCACTATGAATATTACATAACCCGAAGATGAGAAGACCACCGGCAGGCTTGACAAGTAGATTTTTTCCATATGCCAATATCTGGGAATTTAAGTAACCCAAACCACAAATCTCATTGTGGGGAGAAAAAAAAACAGGAATTGAAAACAAAAGAAAGGTCGGTGGCTATAGAGTTTGTGTGTTTCAGGCATGCGGTCGGACTCCAGCGATCTGGTCTCTGCCGTAAAAAAGCTCCAGGTGCATTAGTGATTCTGTTTCCCTCAGCACCTGGTGTCTGCGAGTCACTCAGTCAGTCAGGCGAAGGACTAAAAGGCGAAAAAAGTGCCAGATTTGGGGGGAAAATTCTTTCCTCTGCTCTCACGTCTGTCCGAGGCCTTTCAGCGGGCCTGCCAGAGTCTTCTCTCTTATTTCCCACCAGTGTTAGGGAAGCTGCTTCGAAACCTAAGCTCGCCAAGCTACAAGCTGCTCATAATTTAAAGTAGTTCAAATACAGTTAGGCTGCCCTTTTGATAAAGTAGTCTGTTCCAAAGCATTTTTATCTGACATTTTTCATTAAAGAAATAGTTAAATTATGTATTGTATTGTAAATTATGTATTAAAGTGAAAAATGTGTGTCACTATCATAATCGTCCTGGCAACAATTTTGTTTTGTATTTTTAGGAATAATTTTCTGTAGCATTTCTGTAACATTCTTAATAAAATTACCCAAATGCATAGATCCTCCATAGATTTATAGTAGAAAAGAGCAAGTTTGTATGATAATATTGTGGATGGCCACAAGTGATAAGGTAGGATTGATCAGTAATGTGTAAAAACATAATGTGCTGAACTACTGTTCAAAAGTATGGGGTCGATAAAATTTAGTTTCTTCTGCTCACCAAGGCTGCATTTATTTGGCCAAATATACAGTGTAATAATATTTCACAATATTACTGTTTTTAATTAAAAAAAAAACTGGTTTCTATTTGAATTAGAGTACTCTATTATAACAAATCCTTGAATGCATTTTGCCCATGTCGAGTAACCGGCAAAATACTGGAAGTGGCGCATTCCATGGATTAGAATCCATGAAAAGCATTATTCACTATTGTGAATTCACAAAGGCTGTGATTCAGTTAAATAAATATATGCGCTATAAATATATGCATATGGTTTAATATGCGCTTTATTTATATGTGTGTAGGTTACGTGCATCTCAGAGCGGCTCCGTTCACAGTAAATGCTGCTCCACACAAACAGTTCTCATTTACATGCGTGGACCCTCTCAGACTCCATCTTTGCATATGCTCGCTGGGAGTCTGAGTTGCTTATAATGTTCATCTGGCAACATTGTGCACCTTCTATCAAGGTAGATCATTCATAAACCTACTCCAGCACAGGATAAAACATCATTATCTTTCTAAATATGCAAACTGTTCATTGTGACTTCAAAACAAAAGTTTAAACCCTCGTTTCGATGTCCACATGTTCTTGTTCAAGAAATGACAGTGGCTGTAGCATTTCTAGCATACCGAAGTGGCCCAATATTAAAGATTAAGTGGACAGCTTTGAATGTTTTATTTGAACCAATTATTATTGCCTCATTGCTAGTATATGTATTTTATGTATATGCATTTTAAGTCATTTTAAAGTCTATTGGGTCTATTTTTATTAACACAAAAAACTCTCAGATTACTCGATTACCAAAATAATCGTTAGTGACAGCCCTGATTTGAATTGTTTTTAAATGTAATTTATTCCTGTAATGCAAAGCTGAATTTTCAGCATCATTACTCCAGTCTTCAGGGTCACATGATCCTTCAGAAATCATTCTAATATGCTGCTCATGAAACATTTCAGTCACACTTTATTTTAAGGCCCAATTCTCAATATTAACTAACTATTAACTACGACTTTTGCCTCAATAAACACCAAATTACTGCTTATTAAAGGCACAATATGTAAGATTTTTTTAAATTAAAATATCCCAAAACCACTAGAAAAGTGTTATGTATTTTGCGTCGCCTGCCAATGACGTCATTTTTCCGGTTTTATTTTGTTGAAAACATGGAAACCCCAAAGACACTTTAATATGTTATGCATTTTATTAGACAGGTGACGAACGCACAGAGTAGCATTATAACAGCACTTTCAATACACTCAGATGTATCTAGTATAAAAGAGCTGTTTTACCCCACATACGCATGACCGGAAGAAGCGGAAGCAGTCGACTGTGGCATAATAAAAGCTCTGCTGCTATCGAGCCATGCATCGCGCTCGTCCTTCATTAGCAGTCACTCCAGCGGCCTCGTTTCGCTTCAATGACTTTTAGCCCCACCCTGCTTCATACTACAGTGACCTTAAGTCTTTAATACATTAGCTCATCAATGAACATGATTTCTGCCCGAGTCCCGTCAGATTGCATCGGCTGTGGGGATGAAGGTGACAACTCCCACGATTCCACACTCAATCACGGCATCATCAAACTACGCCTTTGTTTCTTGTTTGTTTTGAATATGCGCCCTCTAGTGACAAAAACGTACATATTGTGCCTTTAATAGTTAGTTATTTGGTAGTTAGGTAGTTAAGTTTAGGGGTTGGGTTGGATTAAGGGATGTAGAATATGGTCATGTGGAATATGTGCTATTAAACAGCCAATTTGCTAGTAATATATATATGTACTAATAAGCAACTAGTTAATAGTGAGAATTGGTGCCTAAACTAAAGTTTTGCTTCATATATTTGTGGAAACCATGATATATATTTTTTTCAGGATTCTTTACTAAAACAAAACAAAACCGCTTTAATTTGAAACAGAAATATTTTACAACCTTATAAATATCTTTATGGTTTATGAATTTAATGCATCCTTGTTAAATAAAATTCTTACGGACTCCATGCTTTTGAATCCTAGTGTATAACTAAAAATGTATTTTGGAGTTTCAGTAACACAGTTGCATGAGGATTCAAATCAATTGAACTGTTCAAATGAACCAACGGCTTAAATTAATCAAACCTCCCAATGCTATTTTTGAGTGATAGAGTGAGAGACATTTTTGTTACCTAAACTCACAGGTGCATTATGTAATGAGACCCAAAAATATAATTTTATTGAATGAGAAGTGAAAAAAATAGCATTTTGTTTCACTGCACTGCTGCTTCTTGAAAAATAAAAAAGATGCTTCTTGAAAAAAAGCTAGTTGTTTTCTAGTTGTTACTAGTCTTTTGAAAACAGAAGTGCTGTCTGAAAATGTACTTAAGCTAGTCATATCCTGATGTTTAGTTAGTCTCTCCCCATTGCTTCCCTCCAATAACTCCACCCCAAAAACCAAACCAACCATCCCTAGAGGAGGATACTCACCGAGACAGACCTTAAATCCATTAAACTCCAAGTGTCCCTATCGGGGGCACACTCACTCACACTCTCTCTACTGAAAAGCTATTGAAATATGATTCTGACAGAACACACTTAGCACTTCTAATCAGCCCGTGTAATCTGTGGAGCCGTACGTCCCTTGATCCCACTCTGCCCATGCTGGCATGCCAGGAAGCTCAGGTTCGGCACAGACAGACACCTAGCTTCATTCTTCATGTCAGTACGTTCCCGTCATGAGTGGGGTTGAAGAGGATCAAGTATCCACACTGAGAGGAGGGAACGCCGGTCAGGGAGCAGACACAAAGACCGATCTGAGCCGGGAGGAAACAACGTGTGAAATTCGCAGGGCTGATCCAAGAAGAGCGGTTTATTGATGCGTACAGCACATTCACGCTGAACTCTGGGAGCGGGACAACCGGGGAGGGGCTGGTTAGTGACCAGTTTGGTGTCTGGAGAGAACAGAATCTACCCGAAATGATGATGAGTGATTTGTCATTTAGGCGGTGCATTTATCCAAAGTGACTTACAGTGTAATTGTAGACTAATACTAAAACTGAAACTACGAAAATTTAAGTACATCTGAAATAAAATGAAAAAAAAAGACTTAAATGAAAACGAGAACTGTTGTCTGAAAATAAGTTTAAATTGAAGTACTAAAATTAGTAAAATTATAATTTAAAAATAAATTAAAGCTAAATAGAAATATAAAAATGACTAAAACTTAAAAATATTTAAAATATAAAATAATATATAATTCAAAATAATAATACAATAGTCTATAAATAATACTAAACTAACGCTGAGTCAGATGCATTTCCCCCCCATATTATTTAACACTTAAAGAGTTAAAATGCAGTGACTCTGAACCATGTTTCCCCATATAAGCACTTTACATGCTATAAACACAAGGTCACTTGCTCTTTAACTACTAGGTTAAACCACTTTTTAAAAGAATGGTGCACACAAAAAGTAAAGCATATCAATATTTACTCACTCTTATGCATTTTCTTTCTTCTGTGAAACATGAAAGGAAAGGTGGACAGAACCTCAGAGCTTTAGATAAGAGTTTTAAATAAGAACTGTGGTGATTTAAACTGTAGCTCTGAAATTTAAACCTTATTCTACTTTTGTCCTATTCTACTGCGTTTGCATAGAAAAACAATGGAAATGTAGCGCATTGGAATGGATAAACATGTTCTGTGTGAACGGCCCCTAAGAATGACATGAGGGTGAGTAAATGCTGACAGAATAATGACAAAATGTATTCCTCTAACAGTCCAGTTTCTTACAGCTTCAGTTCAAGGGAATTTTTTAATTCTTGACTCTTTATAAAAGTATTTATATGTATGTATATTATATATTTATATGTAGCCATTGATCATTTGACCTTTTTTTTTTTTTTTTTTTTTTTTTTTTTAAATTAATTGTTCACTTCAAGTTCTGCTCAACACATCATTGAACCTGAATTGTTGGGGTCACATGCAGGTCACTAATGACTATTGAATATGAATATTAATAATAAATATAACTAATGAATATTAATAATGAAGAGCTATGAAAGTAGCCTAGGTAGCACGGGCTCTAATAAAACGAGGCACTAAGAGTAAATATATATATATATATATATATATATGTATGTGTGTATATATATATATATATATAAATAAAGTGAATAGAATTATTTTCCTCTTTTAGCAAGCACACAGTAATGGTCTCCTCTGGAGTTTCAGAAGAAGTCTTAGCAAAGTCTCAATCTATTCTCAGATTCGCAAATACCAACTATTGGCTTATTTGTGTCTGTTTATTTTTATTATAAGCCATTTTAGGAGTCATAGAGGATACTTTAACAACTCCATGGAGAACGCTGTTAAGTCTGATGAGCAACCGCTGAGCAAAAACCTTTTTTTTTTTTTTTTTTAAAAGAGCATCATCTTTCAGCTGCTCTGTTGTACAGAAAAAATGCATTTTTCTTCTACCTACCAATTTGATGGCCCTTGCACAGCATGTAAGAATGAACACACACACACACACTCAGGAGATTGAGCAGGTGTGGGTATGTGGTTTAAGTTTTCCCTTCAGCACAGAAGTATCATTTATAGTCAACCACATTGTTTTCAACATTACGGCCCCTCACAAAGCTTTAGGGGCCTGACTGAGAGATTTATCTGCAGTTCTACACAAATATTAATGAATTTTGGAACGGACACAATAGCATCATGACCCGAAATCAGGTTAAATTTTGTGAGTTGAAGTGAGCCATTATAAACCGCAGCCAAAAGTAGCAATGACTCGATTGAGTTTTAACAAGACTAATGAACATGAAGATGATGTTATTAACAAATGGGACTGTTAAAGGGATAGTTCAGCCAAAAATCATTTACTCATCCTCATGTTGTTCCAAACATGTATAAACCCTTTTTAGTGAAATATAAAATAAGTCTAGCATGTCAAATACTGTGCGTGAAAATGCATTTTACTGTAACCCCATTAGTTCTCATAACCAACTGCAGTATGTAACAAATTTGAATTGGCAGAAATGTTGTCATGTGACTAGAGTTTCAAGGAAATAACCATTTTTTGTTTATCTCTCACAAAAAGTCAGCAAGTCGATAAAAGTTTTAAAAATGTTTTTGACAGAAGTCTCTTTTGCTCACCAAGGCTGCATTTCTTTGATCAAAAATACAGTAAAAACAGTAATATTTTGAAATATTATTACAATTTAAAATAACTGTTTTCTATTTCAATATGTTTTAAAAAGATAATTTATTCCTCTGATTTAAAGCTGAATTTACTCCAGTCTTCAGTGTCACATGATTCTTCAGAAATCATTCTAATATGCTGATTTTCTGCTAAATAATATTTATTATTATTATTGATTGATTTGAAAAAATCTTTTGCAACATTATGAATGTTTAGTGTCAGTTGATTAATTTTATGCATCCTTGCTCAAAAGTATTCATGTTTTTTTTTTTCAAAGATTTTTCAAAATTATTTTTTAATCATCATTTTAGCATGTTAACAGTTTATAATTTCCCCCACTAGCATTTTGAAAAATAATATAATTTTAGTATAATTATTTAGTGAACACATGGTTGTATTACACATACTATGTGAATAAATAATATTTAGCACATGTGCAATTATTGCAGTGCCCAGGGAGATGGGCTCCCCTAGCTGAGTCTGGTTCTTCTCAGGGTTTTTCTCCCTCTTCATCTAAACCGCTTATGGAGGGTTTTCCTTTGGCTGCTCACTGGGGCCTGTAGGGCTTAATGCACGACAAAAGCACTATACAAAAAAAAAAAGACTCTATATGGCTATTATATAGTCCACAAGTCATTTGGACTGCATTTATGGTGCTGCTTTGTCATTTTTGGGCACTTGACAGCCCCAGTTTCCATTCACTTTTATTGTATAAAAAAAAAAACTCTGCTTAAGTCTGTTCCACAGAATATTGAATGACACTCATTACTTGTTTTATGATTGTCTTCGTCTGCAGGAATTATTGCTGGGATCAGCACATTGCTAGAAAATGTGTGATTTTCAGTGTCATTTGTGGTGAAGCCCAAGGCACTACTAGTTTCCATTGTCTCCAGTCAGATGTGCCTGAAAACAGCTGAGGATGGAAAAAAGGCTTGCACTGCAAAAAGAGCGTGTGACATTAGCACCATATGTTGTGTTACACATTTCAAAATGTGCATACACCCACACAAACACACATTTCCTAAACACCTGTAAACATACAAGAGACCCTCATCAGAGGGACCCCCATCAGAGCCCCATTGAATTATGGGGGGAAAGCTGAGTCAACTTGCACTCAACTAAACAACACATTTTCCAAATCACCTTTTTATTTCAGTACTGGTCCACATCAGTGTTGCTTTACTATTATTTAGATAATATTATATATCAATGTTTTGAATTAGGTTTTATTTTTATATATTCAGATTAAATTGTAATTTAATTAATTACATCTGAATATATATATATATATATATATAATTCAGTTTATCTTGATTTGTATGTTTGGATATTTGTAATGGAAAACAAGTCAAAAGGGCACATTTTTTTTGCAGTGTATTTAATAAGCACAACAAACAGAAACATGCATTAAGAAAGTAAACAGAGTTATTTCATGTTGACTTTAACACCATTTTGATTTTGTTTCGGTCTTACTTTCTTCGTTCTTGTGGTTAGGTCTTTCGTCTGGTGGACATTAGCTCTGTCAAAGGTTTGGACTTGGTTACAGTAAAACTGTTGCCTTTGTTATGATCAGGTCTAATTGTGCACACATACAACATTTGAGGTGTGACATTTTTTATTTAGAGACAGAATGTGTCCCCTGCCTAGAGCTGTCAGCAGATGCAGTCACATATCGTGCTTTATAAGTGTATTGTTTGAAGAGTTTCTCTCCGTTTGTTATAGATTTGTTTATCTGCTCCAGGAACCACTTGTCCTGTGTATCAATCTCAATGTATTTGTATACATACATATGTCTCTCTGAGTAACAAAGACCACATTTCCTGACATAATTGCAGGTTTGATGCGAAGACATGAAACATAACCTGCGCAAGCTGGATTTCAATATTCATGCTTGGAAAATGTTGAGCAGGCATTCATGTTTGCATAATGTACACTACTGTTCAAAAGTTGAGGTTTAAAGAAATAATACTTTTATTATAAACATTAAATTGATCAGAAGTGACCGTAAAGACATTTATAATGTTACGAAAGATTTCAGTTTTAAATAAATGCTGTGCTTTTGAACTTTATTTTCATCAGAGAATTCGTAAAAGATGTAACATGGTGAAATATTAAACAGCACTGTTTTTAAACTAATGATGAGAAATGTTTCCTGAGCAGCAAATCAGCATATTAGTATGATTTCTGAAGGATCATGTGACATGTGATATCACAGGAATAAATTATAATAGAACTTGCATAGAAAACTGTTATTTTAAATTACAATAATATTTTACAGTAATTTACTGTTTTTTTTATATATATATATTTGTGATCAAATAAATGTAGCGTTGGTGAGCGTAAGATACTACTTTCAAAAACATTCAAAAATCGTACTGACCCCAAATTTTTGATCATTAGTGTACAGTATTTCTCTGGCCTAACAGTTCTTGTGTGTGTGTGTTTGTGCATCTGTGTGTGTTAGACAAGAAGGAGAAAAGGGCAAAAGGAGCAGAGGAGGTGCGCGGCAGGAGGAACGCCATCAGGCTGAGCAGAGAGTACACGGTGGAGACTGTCGTGGTGGCCGATGCAAACATGGTGCAGTATCACGGTGCTGAGGCCGCCCAACGCTTTCTGCTCACAGTCATGAACATGGTTAGTCTCATAACATGGTAAAACACAACAGTCGGGTTCAAAAGCAAACGCCCCATTCATTTTCTCCATAAAGAAATTGGTTTTTAACAATATGTATAATAGGGCTGCGACAACAAATCTTGATGCATCGCGATTCGTGGATCGATTCAAAGATTTTCGGAATGCATCACGATTCTCTCTGGAATCGATTCTGAGCTCAGTTTTTAACAGCAGATGGTGCTCTAGGCTAGTTTCTAACCTCACACTCAAATGCTCTCGACGAAGAGTGCTAAAGAGTTCTACATTCGGCTGAGTAACGCAAGTGCTTAAAGGGATAGTTCACCCAAAAATGAAAATTCTGTCATTAATTACTCGCCCTCATGTCGTTTCAAACCTTAAAGACCTTCATTCATCTTAATAAATAATAATCAAAATAATCCATGTGACATCAGTGGTTCATCCGCAATTATACGACGCTACAAGAATACTTTTTGTGCGCAAAAAAAAAAAAAACGACTTTATTCAACAATTCGTCTCCTCCGCATCACCCTGGTGCCATTTTGGAGAATATCCGCTGAGGCAGCTGACACAGAACAGCATACGCTGTTTACGTCCAGCGGATATTCTCCAAAATGGCACCAGGGTGATTCTTGTAGCTTCCTATAATTGTGGATGAACCCCTGATGTCACATGGATTATTTTACTGATCTCCTTGCTACGTTTCTGGACCTGGGAACATTTCAGTTGCGTTGCTGTCTATGCAGGATCAGACAGCTCTCAGATTCCATCAAAAATATATTTTTTTGTTCTGAAGATGAACGAAGGTCTTACGGGTTTGAAACGACATTAGGGTGAGTAATTAATGACACAATTTTCGTTTTTGTGTGAACTAACCCTTTAAATGTACTTGTGCCTCGGCTCAGAATGCTTTTATGATGCAAGATTCACGAGTTCACACTTACTTATAATGAACCGAGTAAAGTTTATGCGTATTTGGCGTGCTGTCCGGGGAGAGGGCTGGTGAACTAACCCTTTAAATGTACTTGTGCCTCAGCTCAGAATGCTTTTATGATGCAAGATTAATGTAACGCCGTTGTAATTGGTTTCAACATTTTCGAACTTGATTATTTTAGGTTCAAGTGGTGTGTGTGTGAGAGGACCAGGAAGCAAGCAGAGCAAGGCAGTTTCTAAAGCGTGCAGTGCCATCTGCTGTTAAAAACTAAACTCTGAATCGATTCGAGAGAGAATCGCGCGATGCATTCGGAAAATCTCAGAATCGAAGCAGAATCATTTCTCAATTCTCGATGCATTGATTAATTGTCGCAGCCCTGCTGTATAATCCTTTCTGTAATACTGAGTTTGCTTCCTTCTTTTCTGAGAAGATCAATAATATCAGGAAGGCGATTAGCACATCCCCAAGTCATGCAGAGGTTAACGCCGTTGTAATTGGTTTCAACATTTTCGAACTTGATTATTTTAGGTTCAAGTGGTGTGTGTGTGAGAGGACCAGGAAGCAAGCAGAGCAAGGCAGTTTCTAAAGCGTGCAGTGCCATCTGCTGTTAAAAACTAAACTCTGAATCGATTCGAGAGAGAATCGTGCGATGCATTCGGAAAATCTCAGAATCGAAGCAGAATCATTTCTCGATTCTCGATGCATTGATTAATTGTCGCAGCCCTGCTGTATAATCCTTTCTGTAATAATGAGTTTGCTTCCTTCTTTTCTGAGAAGATCAATAATATCAGGAAGGCGATTAGCACATCCCCAAGTTATGCAGAGGTTAGACATATTCTTGAAATTTGTATATCAAATATGATAGAGTAGGCTTTATAGGGTTAAAACTGCTTAGGCCCAATAATATGACACAAGCTGAATAGGAAAATTGACAATTTTGAATTTCGATGTTGTCATGCTTTCAGCAGCCAATAATAAATAAACACATTGTGGTCATTACAAATGTTTATTCATGCTGCATGTGTGAACCCGGATTTAATTCAGTCCGGGCTGTGTTTTCTTTTACTTTGCGTCCATGATTTTTACAGATGAGGGGATGTCAGGCCACCTGTCCATGTCGCCATCTGCCTAATTTGGCTTCTACTGAGTAACAGATGAATTTGTGACAAAATACTGTCGAGTTTGAGGCACAGACATCAAACAGCAAAAGATATTGGCAGCGTTTTATCAGCATTTTATTTTGCTATTCTAATTATCAACAGTTATACGGTTAGCTGTATCTTATTTGCTTTCAGCATTGTTTTTCTTTGCTGTGTGTGAACAGACGCACTGGATGAGAACTGCTGGCCTAAGCTAGTGTATTTGCCATGTATTTTATTTATGTTGATAAATGGTTTAAATGTATGCCTAAACTGCATATTTTGCACGTAACCGAGCATTTGGACACTGTTAAGTCCTGGCAAGAAGAGAATGGGCTCATAAAATAGGATGGAGAGACCGATAGCAGTTGGGAGAGAGTGTGTGTGAGCGTAACATTTGCTCTGCTGACCGCAGCTGTGCTGTGTGTGTGTGTGAGAGACACATTCATGAGTCGGCAGCTCTCGGACACACACACACACACACACACACACACACCTCTACTTTATCACATGGGCTCTGTTCCAGAAATTAGTGTGCTGCTGTGTACAGAAAGCAGCAGTTGAGGTGTCATATGTTGGAGGCATCCAATCAGAATTTAAACTCATAATCTTTCTAATACAATCTCTTTAAAGTAAATGCACCTGTAAAATGCTGTTTGCTGTAGGAGCAAGTATCGCTAGTATTGTGGCTAAGAAATGCCATTTAGCCTAATTTTTATACGTCCTTGGCAAAGATCTAAATCACTACCCCTTTTATTTCCATAATGTGACATGTTTCTGAGTGAAACGAGATATTGAATTAATAAAATGTCGGATGAGACTTGATTTGATGCATCTGGGATTGAATGGACTGGAAGTGGTTGTTTCAGAATGGAGTCAAGTTGTTAGAGAGATTGGAAAAATTGAAAATTAAAGAGATTCATGATATTAGAGGTGGAGAAATTGCATATAAGTCAGTGTTTTTATTCTTAATTAAAACTAAAACTATTATTTACTATTATGAAACTAAAACTAACTATATTATTAACTATTCTTTGTTAATTGAAATAAAGCTGAAATAAAATTAACTTGAACTTAAAACATGAAAAATAAGAAATTAAGACATAAGTATAAATAATTATATGAAGCTAAATAGAAATATAAAAACTAATACAAATGAAAAAAGCCAAAAGCACATAACAAAATTACTAAAATGTAATTAAAAATGAAAATGAAAATATAAAAGCCAATTCAAAATATTTATAAATACTCTCATGTTATATAAAATATACCATTAATATTTGATATATATATATATATATATATATTAATAGTATATTTAAAAAAAATTTAATACATAAAGTGTATTAAAAATGCACCCTGTTTTTCATGAAGTATGGGGTGGGGGGGATCAATTATATTCACCAATACACAAAGAAAAAACTTTGAGTCGTGATGCAAACAAGTCTGATTCATAGAATCAGTGTTTTTAATTGATTCAATTGATTCATTCAAATAGATACTTTGAACTAATTCACAGAAATGAATCGAACTTACCAACTGTAATACCACTTTTGCATTAACACTCATATTTGCAAGTCACAAGACAGAGCTGTGAAACCCACAGAGACAATGTCTTCAGAGTCTACAGCATTTTCTCTTATCTTTCTCTATCTTTGAAACGTAACTGAATAGCCCAGTATACCAGCTAGGCCAAAAAACTAAATCCGCTGATATTGAGCTATTTTGATCTCAACATTAGCTGATAACATGCACTCTTGGCATTTAACAGATGTTTTAGCTTGCCCCTTTGTCTAAAAATCTACTGAAATTACTGAAACATACTACTGATACTCATGTTTTTCTTTTTTAAATATTTTAAAGGGGTGGTTCAGTGTTTTTTTTTCTAGGCTTGATTGTGTTTATGGGGTGCAGTCTAACATGTGTTAATGCTTCGTTTTTTAAAAAACACATTATTTTTCACACAATTTACCTTTATTCCACACTGCTCTGTCCCTTCTCTGAGAAACGCACTAATCATTTCCTTCTATAATGAAGCCCTTCCCTCAGAAATAGTCGATGGGCTCTGATTGGTTGGCTAGCCCAGTGTGTTGTGATTGGCTAAATTGCCTCTAGTGCGCGTCTAAATGTCCCGCCCCTCACCTCAGCGGCATGTGCTCCAGTTGTGTTGTAAACAACGGCGTCGTTAATATCGCTTATCAGTTTGAGCCCGATTGAGAAGCAGAGGATATTATTGAAGAGGATCGTGCAGAACCTGTGCAAGCACGGCTTTTAATGGTAGGCCTATGTTTTTTGTTTGTTGTTGTCTCATACTTTTAGATACGCTGTTATTTGTAAATGCTACTGCTTATGTTAGCTTTTAATATATGGTTTTATCCTGATTAAAGCTTTAATACAGTACGGCAACTGCACGCGTGTCCATATTTAATGCTTCGCATAGCTATGTGAAAATAAGTGAATAATTGTAACCATTCATTGTTGGAGCTGAGCTGAATGAGAGAGAGATGCAGAGAGTGTGCAGAGCAGGGGGATGCGAGGAACAGTATTAAGAACCGCTGCTTTAGAACATTGATTTTGAAACTTGTGAATCCATTAGAATCGTTAGAAGACAGAATCGCGATTCATATATGAATAGATTTTTACGTGCACCTCTAGTTTTCGCTTCCTCTTCTCTAAAACAGCGCAGCATGGCCTCGCCCCCTTTGCTGCCTTTTCCCGAGGTCGGGGGTTTATCTGGGTTTGTTACATCACGAACTCGGGAAGTAACTCGTTGTAGTCCCTACCAGCTGTTTTTGTAGGCATTAAACTGACAGAATTTTAAAAGATGATATCACCCTTTGCATTGAACTTTCAACTTCGTAACTTTGCAGATATTGTTTATGCTCAAACAGCAACATTACACACTAACTAACATTAAAAAAGTGAAATCGCAATCAAAAACCCTTTTAAGTGAATTTTTTTGTCAAACTGGTCAACTGCAAAACAACTTTTAAAACTGAATATCTTTTTTTTTTTTTTCTTTGAATATATCATATCACATAGTTAATCAATAAGTTAATTATTTCGTCGGATTCTCTCTCTACAGGTGTATAACATGTTTCAACACCAGAGTTTGGGAGTGAGGCTCCATATCCGGGTCACCAAGTTGGTTCTCCTGCACACCCGTCCAGTAAGTGTGACCCTGTGATGTACAAACATTAGATCAACATCCAGATCTCTGGACATCATGACTCAACCTGTCATTTATCTGCTCTCTTGCCGTTTTATTCCTGTCCTCAGGATCTGTGATGTTATCCTCGCTCAGCGTGTGTGTGTGTGTGTGTGTGTGTGTGTGTGTGTATATCACACCGTAGACAAGCGCTTTGTAAATTGAATGGATGATTCAGCTGCAGGCGCCATCTTCTGGTGAGACGTGGGAATTCATTCGGCGCTGACTCTCACAGTGCATTATGGGTATTCTGTAGCCATTGAGCGTGCACAAGTTGTACACCGTTTTTGCGGTGCATTATGGGATTGAATGAGAGAACGTCCGCTATGGTTTCGGACACCACTACAAATGGCTGTCCACGCAAATAGTGCCCTATTTAAGTGTATAGGGGGCGATTTCAGAAACAACCCATGACACAATGACAATGACGTAGAATGCAGTGCCCTCTGGTGGACAACCAGAGCACTCTAGTATTTGACCAACGTTACATAAAGGGGAATTGACTGATGTTCGCATTCTTTCGCAGAGGCAATATCGTAACCTATGAGGTTCGTCCGAGGCGCGATCATTGCTGGTTGTAAATTTTTAGGGGCAGTCATGGCCTAATGGTTAGAGAGTCGGACTCGCAACTCAAAGGTTGCGGGGTTTGAATCTCGGTACCGGCAGGGATTTTTGGTTAAGGAAATGAGGCTCTCTCTTCCATCCTCACTGCTGTGTGTGTGCACTTGGATGGGTTAAATGCAGAGCACAAATTCAGAGTATGGGACACCATACTTAACTCCACGTCACGTCACGTTTAATACTCTGATTGTGTTTAAATGACCACAGAAGTATACAGACGTTCTTACAAATAAAGTGGGAAGTAGCTCATTTAAAGTTTTGCTGCACCAAAGTCTGTAAATCAGATTCTAATTGTCCAGTGTGTTTCTTAGGAAAAGCTGAAGGTGGGCCACCATGGAGAAAAAGTCCTGGAGAGCTTCTGTCACTGGCAGCATGCGGAATACAGTGCACGATACCTGGGAAACAATCACGTTCCTGGGAGCAGAGACGACCCTCCTCCTGTGGACGTGGCCGTGCTGGTCACCAGGTACTTAACAATCACGCTTGATATAGAGTCACCCCTGAAAAACTATTTGACACGTAAAAATGTTATAAAAAAATATCAACCCAAGTGCATTTATTTAAAGAAAGATAACAAGGAAACACATTTTATATATATATATATATATATATGTATATATACAGTATATATACACACAGGTGCATCTCAATAAATTAGAATGTCATGGAAAAGTTCATTTATTTCAGTAATTCAACTCAAATTGTGAAACTTGTGTATTAAATAAATTCAATGCACACAGACTGAAGTAGTTTAAGTCTTTGGTTCATTTAATTGTGATGATTTTGGCTCACATTTAACAAAAACCCACCAATTCACTATCTCAACAAATTAGAATACATAAGTTAATTATTTCGTCGGATTCTCTCTCTACAGGTGTATAACATGTTTCAACACCAGAGTTTGGGAGTGAGGCTCCATATCCGGGTCACCAAGTTGGTTCTCCTGCACACCCGTCCAGTAAGTGTGACCCTGTGATGTACAAACATTAGATCAACATCCAGATCTCTGGACATCATGACTCAACCTGTCATTTATCTGCTCTCTTGCCGTTTTATTCCTGTCCTCAGGATCTGTGATGTTATCCTCTGTGTGTGTGTGTGTGTGTGTGTGTGTGTGTGTGTGTGTGTTTTAACTACCGGTTTTCCCCTTCATTTTATTGGTGGATTTCACTCTCTCCAAAGGCTCCGGAGAGTCTGGCAGAAGGTTTTTTGAGTGTTCACCTCTAAAGTCTGAAATGATGCATGTCAGGACGTCACTGAATAGCCATTAGTGTAAATATGCTTCAGGGCAAAGCCTTTGGACTCAGTCTCTGATATCATAAAGATAAAATCAGAGAAATTATGGATTTAGATGCTTGAAACAAACAAAGTTGTACTGTCTTTAAGTACAACTGAATTAGAGCAGCAATTCTCAAAGCCATATTGATTTCACTGTGTGATCGATGAATCAACAAGTCCCACTTTTATGTCAGCAGGAGTTCATGAAGAAATGAAAGACCCCTTGGAGTTTTGGGACTTGTAGTCTGTTAGTTTTGATGCTAAACTATACATGCTGATTTATTAATACAAGTTGACTTTTATTAGATACGCATTTATAATTGGACCAAAAATAGTGCTTATCTTGCAAGAAGAGACATACACTACTGTTCAAAAGCTTGGGGTCAGTACATTTTTTTTAAATGTTTTCAAGTCTCTTCTGCTCACCAAGGCTGCATTTATATGATAAAAAATACAACAAAAACGGTAATGTCGTGAAATAATATTATAATTTAAAATAACTCCTTTCTATTTGAAAATATTTAAAAATGTAATTTATTCCTGTGATGTAAAGCTGTATTTTCAGCATCATTACTGCACACTGCTGGTCAAAACTGTGTAAATGCAACAGAAACTCATGCATATAAACAGCTTTTACAAACCCGATGAAAACGCTTTCATGATCTCAGTGAACTCGCATGATTCACGGGTTCACAGAGATCGCCCCCTTATGGCGAACTATTGAAATTTCAAAACGTTTCGAAACCGTTATGACGTAATGAAGCCTCATTTACTGGGTGATTTATGTTGTTATTTTCTTTTATTTGTTTTTGGAACATATTTTTAGGTTAGTCTAATTTTCAGTTTTTGAGTGAAATGTATATATATTTTTTTATTCTGAAGAAACATTTCCTAATGCAAAATGTCTTTTGGTTTTGGGGTCAAATATAACCCATGCATCTTCTTACATTTAGTCATTTTGAAGCTTAGAAGCTTCTCAATATATTATATATCAGCTTTTCATTCCCGGTTTACTAGAGATTATTTGCTGCTTTGCCTTTAATGTTTGCTTTTGTTGTCTTGAAGCTGGTTAGTTTATTTCTCTGATAAATAAATAATGCACAAGTGAATGAATGTGCAATGAACATCTGTTGTTTCTTTTATGTGCCAACCTTGTCTCAGATATCAAGTGTTTTAGGAGAAATAAAAGACACAAATATGTGATTAATCGGCTTACAGAAAGAGTATAGAGTTATAAAGTGAATGTAAATAGCATAGATTCATTTGTTCATGGAAGAAATGATGAGAAATGTTTGTTCATAGTAAGATCTCAGACTTTTGACTGCAGAATTTGGTGTCTAAGCACAGTTTGAGATATTGTTGAGATCTCTGCAACTGAAGGAGACAAATGTGAGATTAATAGGAGAAAAATTGGAGAAGGAAGTCTCCATTTGCTCTCTTTTGAATCTCATTGCTGTGTGGAGAAGCACTACAGATCTCATTTGTGATTTTCTTTCCTTTTATCTAACATATGTCTCCGTTTCTCTCTTGTCTTGTTTTCTCTCTCTAGAACAGATTTTTGCGTCCACAAAGATGAGCCTTGTGACACAGTCGGTAAGTCTAGCTGAACTACTGGTTTTTATTTATTTATTTATTTTTGGGTGAATTCTTCTCAGTTACTTCATGGGAATTTATAACCACACACAAATATCTCAAAAATAAAATGGAATATGGAATATCTCTTGCAGTCTGCAAAAAGCCACAAAGTTGTATTATAAATCCTTGAAATATCTAAAAGTTTTGTCAAGCCACAAGAGGACATGTGATAAAGTGATTTTAGCACTAACCCTACACCCATCATGCTACAGTCATGTCAACAAGCTTAAGAAAAACTTATATTTTCTTTAAATCATGTAAAAATAATCTAGATTATATGTTAAAGTTCTTCAGGTCAGATCTTATGCAAGCAGTTTGTTCTATGTAATGTATATTATTTTTAGGAACATCATTTTAGTGTCTAAAATTACTTTATTAATGCAATTTTAATTTATTTTTTACATTTTAGGTTCTATTTTTTTATGCAAAATGTCTAATCATTTTTGATGCGACCCAGACATAAACATGCATACCATAAAATGCAACATTTCTTGCAATATGTTAAAATCCACAAAATTGTCTCGTAAAATCATGAAATAGCTAAGTATTTTAGTAAAATACTGTTGTATTTATACTTTTAGTATAAAATTATATTTATTATACTTTTAGTATAAAAGTACATTTAGGTTCTAGTACTTTTTTAAAACCTATTTATGTTCTGCATTTATTATGCAAAATTGAATTAGACTTTTTTTCAATGAAATATTTTTTTCAGACATAAACATACCTAAAAAAAAAAAAACTTTTCTTGCTATCTGTAAAAAGCCACAAAATTGTATTATAAATCTTCGAATTATCTAAAAGTCTTTTAAGCCACAAGAGGACGTTTTACAGTGATTTTAGCACCAACCGCATAAGAACACCCTACTAGCCACCCAGAACATGCTACAGTCCTCTCAGCGAGCTTAAAGTGGGTAAGCAACACTCACAATTTCTTCAGAAAATGTACAAATAAAATGTAGTTTGTGTTAAAGTGCTTGAGGTCGCCTGTATGCAGCCAGTTTCTTCATAAATCTGTTGAGCTTTTTGATATGGATCATTAAGCATTCTGACATGATCCCATCAGTATTCAGTCATTGATGGAGAAACATGAAACAAGAGATGAATGTTTGCTGAATAACATTAACATGCCTTTGGGTCTTGAGAACGTCAGTCCGTGATCTTTTTAATCCAGAGTGTTCGTCATCGGAACTTCGATTTCTCCCAAACTCAGAACAGATCCGTGAGTCCTGGCCACCTGCCGTTAACGCATTTCTCTGTGTGGGGCATTTGAAAATAGTCATGTCACTTCCCCTTCCCTGACCCCCTGGATTCCTGCCATTCAAGAGCAGAGACTCCTATTCACTCGTATCCCACTGAACTGTGATCTGCTCTTGAGCTGTGCTCCAAAAACTAGTCAGCTGTGTTTTTCTGCTCTCTAGAGAGGCAGCAGTCGAATAAAGCAGCAACCTATTAGGAATGAAACCTCATACCGTTCAATGTTTTTGAAGTCTCTTCTGCTCATCAAGGCTGCATTTAATCCATCAAATGTACAGTCAAATCCATAATACTGTGAAATATTATTACAGTTTCAAATAACTGTTTTCTATGTGAATATATTTTAAAATGTCATTTATTCCTGTGATGCAAAGCTGAATTTTCAGCATCATTACTCCAGTCTTCAATGTCACATGATCCTTCAGGAATCATTCTAATATGCAACATATTATTGTTATTAACAAACGTTGCACTGCGTAATATTTTTGTGGAAACCATGATACATTTTATTCTTTGATGAACAAAGTTCAAATGAACAACATTTAAATCTTTCGTAACATTATAAATGTTTAAATAATCTTTCTGGCCCCAAACTTTGAACAATAGTGTACATAAGTGATTTGAAACCATCTCTATAGACGTCAATAAAAAATACAGAGTAGAGTTTGTTAATGGGGGAAAAAGCACATTTTACCAATATTTTTGCCATTGGATGATTTGACTTTGTCTGTGCTAAACAAAATACATATTGAGACTGATTCTCTGCAAATAACACATGCAGTACTGCTTCACACTTTGGCCAAAAAGGTGTCTTAAGGCAACATAAAATTGGTCAAGGTTTGGCTTGTTGACATGGCTCAGTTTGCCCCTGCTGGTGGATGTTGTAACTACACCATATCGCAAAGCATCTTTCTCCATTAAAGGGATACTCCACCCCAAAATGAAAATTTTGTCATTAATCAGTTACCCCCATGTCGTTCCAAACCCGTAAAAGCTTTGTTCGTCTTCGGAACACAATTTAAGATATTTTGGATGAAACCGGGAGGCTTGTGACTGTCCCATTGACTGCCAAGTAAATTACACAAGGTCCAGAGAAGTATGAAAGACATCGTCAGAATATTCCATCTGCTATCAGTGGTTCAACCGTAACGTTATGAAGTGATGAGAATACTTTTTGTACGCGAAGAAAACAAAAATTCGTCGTCTCTTGTCTCTCCGCATCACCGTAGCGGTATTTTGGAGAATAACCACTGAACGCAAGCAGCGTACGCTCTTGTGTGTCAGCCGGTGGACTATTCTGACGATGTCTTTCATACTTTTCTGGACCTTGACAGTGTAATTTACTTGCCAGTCAATCGGACAGTCACAAGCCTCCCGGTTTTCATCCAAAATATCTTAAATTGTGTTCCGAAGACGAATTAAGCTTTTACCGGTTTGGAACGACATGGGGGTAAGTGATTAATGACAACGTTTTCATTTTGGGGTGGAGTATCCCTTTAACAGGCATTCAGAAGTAGTCGTGTGTTCTGATTACGATTTTTGCAGTTAAATTGTTAGCACAAGTTACTTTTTAAGGGAAGAAAGAGAAATATTTGGCCTTTTGTGTAATTTGTTTGCAAGACATTCATGGCATAAATACTTTATTGATGTTGCTATATTTGATTCTATATTTGTAAAACTGCTTTGAAACACACGGGAAATGTGAACACAGAACATTAAATTTATGAATATTATGAACAAAGTCACATAAAACAGAACAGAACCATCAATGTCAATTTGAATAAATGGCATTAAAAGAATTTACTAAAAAACATATTTAGTTAATTGCATGTGTTATCTTTAATTGTAATAAAACAAAAAGTAAATTATAAATATTGCATTTCTTCACAGAGCTCACATTATGAGATTGTGTTCTCTGTGAAGGATGCCTGAATTGGCCAAAAGATGGTGAATTAGACACCATTGTAATCATGCTGCCTACCTTATACAACAGCTTTTGCATCGAGAACTCATTGATGACTATGTAGGCAGCCCACTAGGATTTGGAACAGAGCCTTGGAGTGAAAGTCACATGACGCATCTCAAAGTTTTGACACGCCATACTGTTGAGTCTAAGGTTTTTACTTTTAAATATGTAAAGGTGAAAATACCGTCCATTCTGGAGTTTCCAAACACGCTCAGCAGTCATGCTTTTCTTTAGTGTCTGCATACAACGAGACTGTCATCACATCCAGAATGGATTGCAAGCGCAGAAGCCACCTCAAGAACGTTTGTTCAGTTCCAGACAATCGGAGCAGGCCGTAATTGTTCCAGCATGATGGAAATCATTTGGTCACAGTGCTGCTATTATACCGCAACTGGGAAAGGCATCCCTAGAATGATGAGTTTGAGCGGCCGTTTCTCTGTATGGGTGGGCCAGTTCCTTCAGGGGAACATTGACCTCAACCGTGAAAAACCTGCAGTCTGTGGAGGCAGCCAAGCGAAGGCCTCCTTGTCAAGACACGTAAGATAAGCAAACTTTCTATTTCTGTTCCACATCTTTGTTTGTGATTTAACACTCGCATGATGCAGTTCTATAGTTATTTGACTGTATATGGTCTCGAGTCGATTGGTAGTAGGGTTAGAGTAACCATGTAAAGTCTGGTGAGTGTCCGTCAAATGAGAGCTTTTTTGATAACAGCGCCAGTGATGAAAAAAAAAGCAATGACCTCACGGATATCAACTTAAACCTACTTTATGCTCCACCAGCAGTAGGAAAACAGACACTCACGAAATACGTTTAAAACTATTTTTGCGAAATATTGCAAAATTGATTGATACGTTTACATTTTAAGATGTGAGCCGCATTTAACTTGAACAACCCAAGCGTTTTGCAGACCTTTCAACCGTGTCATCTTTTTTTTGTTGAATCAGCAAAAAAAAAAAAAAGCACAAACTAACTTAAACTTCGTTTTTTTTTTTTTTTCTTTAACCCTCATTCTAGTTAATGATATCGCATTGGACTAAAACTTACTGACTTTGCTCACACAGGGGATAACAACTTTCCCTAAAAAAAAAAAAATTCATTTTGGAACTGAATTATCATAGTCCTCATTGATCTGAGTTTATGCACCTCAGATTTTTTATGAATATTGCCAAAATGGTCCACAAATAATGTTTTGTTTTCACTCATAAACTGAGGTGCATAGGCTCAGATCAGTGAGGACAATGGCTAATCAGTTCCAAAAAGAAATACAAAACCTGTGCTAATTGATTGAAACAAGTTGATTAAATGATTGAATGTGTGATTTGGTGATAATCATTTTATAATTTCAGATTTATAAGCAATTTTAAAAGACTGGTCATTTTTGACCGGGAACAGAAATTACTTTTGGAAAAGCATATTCAGCACAATGGTTAAATCAAATGGTTTAGAAAAAATTGGTAAATGTCAAAAATCCCTCCTGCCAGAGGATGCAATACTGGAAATTACCCATTGCAAACTGTGATTTATTTGTTTAAATGCCAAAAACTTTACTTCTAATGCCAAAATGGCATTAGAAGTAAATGCCATTTTGCCCCCCATTTTGAAGGTGATTATGAATTATTTACCTGTGTAAATGGGCCAGATGTGCACATGAGATTACAACAAAAGATAAATTTGCCTAAAACAAGATGTGGAATAATTTCATGAAAACACATGTAGCATCATCTTGGTTGCA